TCTTTCCTGACTAAAAGCAGCACAGGCTTCAAGCTGGTTATTCTGTTAGTGATAACAGTAGCATAGGAGGGTTTGCTTTCAGGATCATCAGAAGTTCTACTGTTACCCTTAAGAAGACAAATTGCCACTTATGATACATTTAATCCTCAAGATTTTAGAGGAACTGATGTTATGTAGTCTTAGGTTTTAGGACCATTAGTAAAGATTTTGGTCTTGCATCCAAGTTACTTCTGATGATGCTTGCCTTAGAAGAATTACTTACCATCTTTACTCCAGCTCACTAAATGCCTTAAACTGGCAAAATTGAAGATGGGGACATAACAAAAGACTTGGTATCTGCCTGGAATTTAAACAAAAGACTTCAAACTGGTGTTCTTTAATGAAAACACTATTTGGAATTCTGTGGTTCAGATATAAAACAGTTCAAAATATCTTGCCTGGTAAATATTTCAGAGTCAGATATTCCTCTAAAAAACCCCAAAGTTATGCCACTGAAACCTCCAAATTCACCACAGCAAAAAATGTTGGAAAACGGGCAAGCGAAAAACAAGTCACAAAGTCAATTACTTTTTTCCCCAGCTTCCTAAAGCATAAAGTTTTTTCATACCCAAGGAAAAGCCAGGTCCTTACGGAAAGAGGTGATTTTCCAGAATTTAGGGTAAACATAAGAGATTTTCTTTTCTTTTTTTTTTAAGCTTTGAAGCGATTTCATGGTTCAGAGTATCAAAGGGAGATGGAAGACATACAGCGGGAATGTTTTGCCCTAGATGGGGAGAAACCCAAGAAGCCCTGGCAACTGTTCACTGATCGTGGTGTGAGATGGCAGCTCATTACTGTGATTGTCATGTCGTTGGGCCAACAGCTCAGTGGGATAAATGCTGTAAGATTTCATACGTACAAACAGCTTAAACAATTATTTCATTTCCCTCTGTTTTTCAACCTTTTATTAACACAAAGGATCCACACAGAGGAGCTCCGAGAATCTTTGTATTATTTGTGTTCCTCTTTTTTCAACTTTCTAATTTCTGTGTTTCTGGTGTATAAATTCCTTTAGAGAATGACTTAATGCTTGTGTTTACATCCTTCTGAAAAAGTAAATAAAGGTGGCTCAGCTTATCCCATTGTGTCTGTTTTAAGAAAGTGGAGTATTATATTAGGTACGTTGAGTAATTATGCAATTAGAACTCACAGTGTAAGATACATCGAGCTGTATGTTTAGCATGAACTTGACTTTGCTTCCAGACAACCATTTAACTACTGGGAATGCCCTTTTTTTTTTTCCCCCCCTGTTTTAGATTTATTTCTATGCAACTTACATTTTTGAGCAAGCTGGGATCTCAGCAGAAAGGATCCCGTACATGACACTCGGCACTGGAGCCTGTGAGTGCCTCACAGCCCTCACCTGTGTAAGTAACAACTTGCTCTGCCCCGTCGCACAGATCCTTCTCGAGGAAGAACAAGGGTAAGTATGAGACCAGTGTGGTAACAGAAAACTCTGCCTTGTCCACAGGGCTTACTGATAGACTACGTGGGAAGAAGATGTCTCGTCATTGGGGGTTATCTCCTTATGACCCTTTGGAGCATTGTTTTAACGCTCTCTCTGACCTACCAGGTGTGAAGGACTCATTTATGTTACACGATAGGACTGTAATGAGGGCAAATCTTTGATGCTCAAGAGAAGTTGGAAGATGAAAACTACACAGGTGCAAACAGCAGCATAAAAATGCCAGCAACTGAAAGATTTGATCAATTCTGTAGCCATATTTCCCTAAAATAAGAGACTGCTCTCAGCTAAGATTTGATCATGTATTTTGTCTTGAAGTTGACACAACTAAGTGATGACAAAATAGTGGGTTTTGTAGCTTTTAAAGAAATTCTAGGTTTGAATACTACATAGTGAGGATAATAAGCATCAGTCCATTTCAGTCATTGATCTGTAAAGGGAACAATCAAAAAGTATCACGAAGATACTGAAATTCAAAAGACATGTAAATCCATGAAGTGTAAATTCACAAAATTGGTTGCCAACTCACTACAGATACTCGCAGTGCCTTAAGCTTATCGTGAAAAGGCAACATCCTACTTCGCTCTTCGATGTAGCGCTAAGAGATGCATCATTAACTGTTCTGTTGACGGAATGACTGTTGGTCTGAGTCGCAATAAAGTAGCAAAAGGAAATGTAACTGTTAAGCTAGACTTTAAGACTGAATTATCAAAATCTGAACTAAACCTCATTCTGTTCTGTTCCAGGAACTGTACTCGTGGGTGCCTTATGTGAGCATGGCATCTATCTTTGCCTTCATCTTGAGCTTTGGGCTGGGACCAGGTATTGCACTGTAACGCACCTTTTAGAGTGGTGAGACGCGGGGCCGGGGGGACGCAGCAGCTCTGCTGTGCACGCCAGGCAGTATTTACTGCAAGGCTGCTGATGCTCTGGCCAAGGAACGCCAGCAAGCCCGGCTGTCAGAACAGTTTAGCCTCCCATAGCCCGAAACCAAGCCGGGCCGTGCGTGTTTCTCAGCGCCAGCTACGCACCCGGGGGTCTTAGTCCCGGCCTTCAGTTCAGCCGAGTCATATGAGGAGCAGGGCGAAGGCTGTTACGCCCTGAAAGCACTGAGCAGAGCTGCTGGAATAGAGCCACTTTTCAAAGGACACGCACTGCACGGGCAATAGGTTCAAATGTGTGCAGTTAAGAAAATACTTGTTTTAACAGAATCAGGCCAGCTAGTGGCATATTCCAAAGCAATCCCATTTTTCTGGCACTGGCGATACCACAGATGGACATTTAGCGTAATAAATGGACATTCAGCATAGTAAACTCTTCTGTTTCTGAAACTCCTTCCCGCAGGTGGCATCACGAACACCCTGACAGCTGAGTTATTTATACAGTCTTCGCGTCCCGCTGCGTACATGATAGGAGGGACTATTAGTTGGATTAGTTTCTTCACAATCGGAATGCTCTTCCCTTTTATAGTGGTAAGTAGGCGTAACACCTTCTCCTAACGGCCTGCCTCCCATTTGATCCTCTCCCAGGCTCCATCCAATTGCCTTTTCTTGTAGTAGCACTTAACACAGGATGCACGCTAGCCCTACACTGAGGAGAACCAGATTTGGTCCCTCTTAAAGTATCTTTTAGGCTTCAACAAAACATAACGAACCACGATGAATGAAAAGGAACGCATGGGGGTAATTGTCACGTTCAGATTTAAAAAGGTATCAAAACTGGAAAAACTGAATCAGAATCTAAGGTTCAAATAGCACATTTCTTAAGTGTGCCTTGTGCTCTTCTGTCAAAGTGAAGTCGGAGTAGTACCTGGGGTTAGTGGTTCACACCTCTGAGAGCTCGCTAACCTTACCCAGAGGGCTCCGTGATCAGGAAGATTATGAGGAAGAACAATACAGGCTTTCATTTCTAGCTCTGCATTTTCAGTTTTAGCACTTATTCTTGAGAGCAAACCATGCAGGAACAGCACGCAGCAGGGTACCCTGGTTTAACAGTCCTTGGTTGAACTCTTCTGCTCAGCAAGAGTTGGGTTTTTTAATGTGGAGCATTGAAAAATATTATCAAACATTGAGAAAAAGGTAAATCATGTAATCTTAAAGTATGAGGCAGCTAAGTAGCAAATGCTGACTTACCATTACAGCACAAATTGCTAGTGTGTGTTTCAACAGTTTATCCTGTGTTTCTCACAGACAAATACCAAGTGTATTGCACAGCACTTGGTAGTCTTTTATCTAAAAAACAAAAATTGAAGTTACAGGTGAAGTAAGGAGAGGTTGAACATGTTTTTATTAAAAACATCTCAGCAGCAGTGTGAGGGGAGACAAAGAGCTTTCGATTTTCCAAACCCTGCTGTTACCTGACCTGTTCCAATCAAACACACTTTGTTTTCAGACCGGACTGAAGCAGTACTGTTTTGTGGTGTTCTTGCTGGAGTGCTCCTTGGTTGCTGCCTTCATCTTCCTCGTCATTCCTGAGACAAAAAACAAATCTTTTCTGGAAATCAAAAAGGAATTTCACAAGCTGAATTTTGGAAGAAATGCCAAAAGAAAGGAAACGGAGCTTTATGAAAGGAGACAGCTCCACGATGACATTTAAAGTCATTCTGTGTAATTTCACGGCTGTAACGGAGTTTCAACGAGAATCGTCAACAGCCTCTTCTAGATTCGCATGTAATGCCATGACAAGCAGCTTCTGAAATCCTCCTGTGTACTGAGGAGGCTTAGTTAAAGGCAGGTTAACCTTTCTGAAAGGCACCAGGTGAGTCAATACTCACAAGAGCTGATGTTTAGGTACCGCTTGGTGTTGCAGGGACGCAGAGATGCCAGGGGAGGGCGCTCCGTGAGTCCCTCCCCCGGGCACATTTCTTCAGGTAACGCAGTAGCTCTTTGTGTATCTCTAAGACCTTCAGCTTCGGGTCATCAAGCCTGGTAATACTTTACTGAATGAAGTATTTCGAGGAGCTAAACCCCAGACAAAACTGATCTATGGAGAAAGCGGTATTGGAAACATTCCAGTTTATATGTACTTTGGGGTATTTAGTTGGCTTTCACTCAATTAACTCCTCTGAAAGCTTTGGGGACACTCCTCACCTATTACTGCACAAAGACAGTACATCACCCATCCGAATTACTGTTAGTTGTAATAGTTTATTAGAAAGACCTGTTTGCTAAAAGGGTGCTAATAAAACAGTTTCTGGGGGTTGAGTTTGGCCTTATTTTTTTTTTTCTCCCAAACTGAGCATCTTAACATTGTAAACTCTGCAACTTCTAGTTTCGAAGGTCAGTTCCTGGCAGAGCGAGCTCAGCATCACTAAAAGCACTAAGCAGCAGAGAGGAGAGACGACAGGAGTCCAACACATCTCATCTCTGTCCAGGCTGGTCTGACAGAACACACGAAGGGGACTGCGGAGAGCTTGAGGGCCCTTTCGCGTGAGCTCTCTCCTGCACCTCCGGCCTTTCATCCAGGACTTGCTCTCAGCTTAAAACACATTCTTCGTATTTTAGTAGTCAAAAAGTGAGAAATCTTAATTATAACGGGGTGTTGAAGCTTACAAACACCCCGTTGTAATTAAGATTTCTTACTTTTTGACTACTAAAATACGAAGAATGTGTTTTAAGCTTCTAGTGAAAATAGGAGGCAAACACCATTTTTCTGATTTTGGTATCTAAACCAGCTGTTTAATTGAAAGTAACATTAACTCTTGATGGTGAAGGAGGCAGCATCAGGAACTGATCTTCTTGTTCTTTAGTTTATCCTCTACGTTGGCAAAATACTTCATTTTGGCAAGAAGCTTCTTAGCTTCTTGAAGATCACCTGAAAGGAAACACAACATTACTGGTTGTCAGAGGCAGGGCTGAATTTTCATTTTCAAATTGACCTCAGGATTTCAGTGACAGCACCCTTCTGGGTACGGAGAGCTGCACACACGCGTGCACTAGGAAAACCATGCCACCTGTTTTCATCTCGGACAGCTTTGCAGCACCTCGACTGAAATGTTCCACAAAACATGTGAAAAATGTACAATTTAGAGAAGTGACCTGAATACCCTTCAATGAGTTTCCTGTAATAGGGCTGTAGTACGGATGTAGCCACAGGGACTTTGAAGTATAGAGACAAGATAAGCCTTGTTTTTCAATGTATGTAATTAGACCAACTGCCAAGACCAACTGCCATCAGTGAAAAATGCAAAGACTTGTACAGACAGTGTCAATTCCAAAAGTTTCTCCTTAATTACACAGCTGGAGGGGAAAAGTACTTTGTCACCTGCTGACAAGGACTGACACAACACAACGCTGAACCCTCGCAGTACAAAGAGTGTCAGGGTGTAAGGCTGCAAGTCTTCACTTGCAGGCCCAGCCAGCACTAGAATCATGGAATCACAGGCTGGTTTGGGTTGGAAGGGACCTTAAAGCCCATCCAGTTCCAACCCCCCTGCCATGGGCAGGGACACCTTCCACTAGACGAGGTTGCTCCAAGCCTCATCCAGCCTGGCCTTGGACACTTCCAGGGATGGGGCCTCCACAGCTTCTCTGGGCACCCTGTCCCAGTGCCTCCCCACCCTCTGCGGGAAGAATTCCTTCCTGATGTCCAATCTCAATCTCCCTCTTTCAACTTAAACCCGTTACCCCTTGTCCTGTCACTACTTTGTGCCTGATGTCATCATACTGGGCAACAAACAACAACTTCTTAGCATCTGCATTCCCACCTGAAATGATCATTGTGATGCAAATGGAATGAAACGGATCCTGTACTGGAATCTTTTTTTAATTTAATGTGAGGTCTGGAATTTCCTGAATCAGCAGAAAGATCAGCTTAGGAGAAATTACTCTAAATCCCAAACAAAGAGCACTTGTGTATGCAGTATTTCTGTTCTGCAGTTCAGGGAGTATCTGCCAATAGGAGAATGTGGGTTTGTTGAGCATTCAGAACCGGCAGGGAAGTACTTCATGGAAATCGCTACCTCTTTCAAAAGCTGCAGTCACCTCTCTGGTCAGTTCCTCTTGTTTAACTGTAAAACAAATGATTTCATTCACTTTTTGTTACGTACTTAGTACATTTATTACCACTGCATTCCGACTGTCTGTGGTGGGAACCTTCATCACTGGTTTCACAGTATTCTGGGAGCTAAGGGTGCTTTCTGTAGTACCGCTGTTGATTTTTTAACAATTCTGATTTCCAACAGATACATTTCATTGTTGAAATCGGTTTTCAGGCAGCAATTCCAATGCAAATCAATGGTCACTAACTTCCCAGAAATCTAACCTGCCTTGGTGTATCAGTTTACCCTGCTGCAGGGAATTTTCTTCCACGCTACTTAGTTTTTGTTCTAATTTGGCACACTACAGTTACTGCAAAGAATTAAATATACCAGTAAACTCAATGTCCTGGGTTATCACCAACTATATAAAGAAAGTTGCTTGTATAAGGATAATAATCACTTAATATCATGGTTGCCAAGTTGAAGAAGGTGAAAGAAATACGTTTGCGTAAAGGAAATTATTCAGTGTGGCCAGTCAAGCATTTTATTACACTTCATTTTGAATGGTTTTTTTTCCAGTCTACTTGCCCCGATCTGCTGAAGGTTGAGTAAGTTCATTTTTATAGTCAATACATACATACACCTCTTTTGCCATCAGAACAGATACTGTTAGATTTTCTCAATCCAGATTTGATGTTTAGGTGGCATAAATTGGTAATGACATTTTTTTTTGGGGGGGAAGCTGATGCATTGAGCCAATTCAAGCCTAATGCAAGTTAGATACTAAAAGAAATACACCGGAAAATTAAGAGTCTTCAGAAAGACTTGTATAACATAAGATACAATAAATTAGTTCTGTACAAACCCCTCAGATCATAACCTACCTTTAATTGAAATTTCGATTTCATGAAGGATATCCTCATCCTTAGGCTCTGCTAATTTCTCATTAATTTCCATGATTTCTGTGAGAAACACTGGGTCTGCATCGCAGTCCGTCTCTTGTGCCGGCTCTACTCCATGCAGCTCCAGCTGGTGAAGAAAATGGGAATTTGGAAATACACATTCTTACATCTGTTTCAATGTCAATTATTTTCTTGATTATGAAGTCTTTAGTAGGGCTCACTCAGACCTGTATCTGATAAACTTCTGGTTTATTCCATGAAACGAGTATGAACAGAGCCCGTCTTAAAATTAACTCCACAGGTAGACCAGCAGTTAACCAAAGCAAAAAAAAAAGCTAAGGAATGCTGCCAAGACTGAATTTTCAAAGAACAGCCATGGCCAAACACAGTGTGCGATGCAGAAAACACTAATGTAAGATGAGCAGCAAATGAGATGGTAACAGTCACTACAATGTTAAGTAGTGGAAAAGTTGATTAATGTTCAGACAGACTTGTTTTCAGTCTAGTAATCCTGTCTCAGAGGAACACAAATTAGCCATTAATGATGGGGTCAAAGGTCTGATTCGTCACGTCACTGCGAGCATCCCCAGCCACCTATGACCAGTTATTGATAAAATACAGAAGGTGTCCCTTACTAGATAGAGGCCACGGCTCAGAGGGTTGAGGAGGGTTTGGTAGGCCTTGTTAATCAAGGAAGAGTGTTGCTCAGAGTAGTACTGTTCTTTCTGCAAACGGATGATAAGTAACCGTACAAGTTAATAACGAGTGGCAAAACACATTACACTTCATTACCCGCAGAGAGGTCCTCCCACACCACCTGTGTGTAAAAGTGAACGTTGATTTTTAGCAGATGGGAGGAGCAGGGAGAGGGCGATCTGGACCTGTAACTGTCATCTCACTCCACTAAGACCGCAAGAACCGCAGCAGCCCCTTATCGCCATCCCTCAGCG